ATTTCTCCACTTCCTGTGGAGTATTTTTCCTCGAGGACTAACCAACTAATAAAATCCTAGTCGACCGAGTCTCTAGTCCACTATTGGGGGTCAGCCCCATTGGCACAAAACGTGTTCTCGTCGCTTCATAACCTTAAAGGGTTAGTTCACCCAAAAATGTAAATTCTGTCAGTATTTACTCCTTGTAAGATATTTGTGATGAAATCTGAGAGCTGGATCACTCCTCCATACTAGTCCATAGATTCTTGAGGGATTGAAACTTGCCGGCCTCGAAAGGTTATTAAAGACATCGTTAAAATAGTCCAAGTGACTTCAGTGGCTCAATCTTAAAGAGTAATTAACCAACTTTTTTTAGTTAATGATCTGTAAGAATGGATCTTTATTAATACCAGTCATTGATTCGAGTAACTTTTTTGACATTTGTTTATAAAGTGTTTTATTTCTACAATATATGGTGTAAAAGCGTCTTAGTGCTGCCCTCTTCAGGTTGAACGGTGGCTACTGCAGTTGAATTTTCCTATTGGATGTTCCGCACTTTGTGACGTACGCAGGTTTCATCTCAGCACGCGAGCTACGCCCTTGGCTGTATAAAAACCATCTTGTGTCGTCAAAACCACTGTAGCGAGTCAGGAGTTGGAATTGTGAGTATTGAAAACGATCAGAATAGAGTGTTTTAGCATCTATTTCGTCCTCTCTATCTCCGCTGGGGTCTGCCCACTTTTTCAGCATTTTCAAATATTGCCAGTGGGTGGAGTCAGGCTCTGACCAGGGGTTTAGTTACCCTTTAACTTTATCAAATGACGAGAATACTTTTTGTGTGCAAAAAATAACAAAAATAATGACTTTATTTCAACTATTCACTTCCTTCTCTCTGGGCGAACTGTTGTACGTCACACGCATCACACACATGACCAGCGTCGGCCAATAGTGAGCCTACGTGTGACGTAGCTCTACGCAATCACACTACGTTAACTGACTACAGGCCCATAGAGGAGGAAGTGAATAGTTGAAATAAAGTCGTTATTTTTGTTTGTTTTTGCGCACAAAAAGAATCTCGTCACTTGATAAAGTTCAGATTGAGCCACTGAAGTCACTTGGACTATTTTAACGATGTCTTTAATAACTTTTCGAGGCCGGCAAATTTCAGTCCCTCAAGAAGCCTATGGACTAGTATGCAGGAGCGATCTTAATATCTTAAATATCTTAATTTGTGTTCCGAAGATGAACGAAGGTCTTACGGGGTTGAACAACATGAGGGTGAGTAAATACTGACAGAATTTTCATTTTTGGGTGAACTAACCCTTTAAGGTTGAACAACTAGTCACATGGGCCATTTTAACAGTGTCTTTACTACCTTTCTGAGCCTTGAAAGCGTCAATGACGTTGCTGTCTATGGAGGGATCGGAAAGCTCTCGGATTTTATCAAAAGTATCTTAATTTGTGTTCTGAAGATCAACGAAGGTCTTACGGGTTTGGAACAACAGAATTTTCATTTTTGGGTGAACTAACCCTTTAAAATATGATACACAGAATGGCCATAGAGTTTCTCCAGCTCATTTAGATGCAGATGATAAAAACTGCTTCCCGCGATCTCGACACAGATTGCTCAGAGGAGGATAGAGGATAGGCGTGTGTAAGCTGGTCATGAGCACTATCTGCATTCCCACTGTGTGTATCAGAGCTCTGTCACGTCTGTCACCAAACACTGAAAATCAATGGCATCCAGTTGCTCCAGAAGCGACAAAAGTTGGTCAACGTATGACTGTGGTCATGTGTCATTTAAAACTAAACTTCCCTTAATGCTATTTTGGATTCTGCATCTTTATCCTTTACATGTTACAGTCATCTGGAAGTATGATATAAATCATCCTCAGTTATGGTTGTTCCTCATCTCACCCTCGCTGCTATGACATGCTTTCTGGCATTCGTGTGTGAACACGAGGTAGACTCGCCACCCGCGCGAGAGGAACGTGGCAGTGTTTGCCAGGACAGATGGTGCGTGAGATTCATCTCTAGAGATATTACGCAAGAGCTGTGAATTTCACCATGACTGCATGTACCGAACGTGTGGACATGTATGTAAGTGTGTGTTTCTGTCCTGGTCACGGAAATCTTCACCCCGTTTCCTTTTATAATATGCTGACATACATCATAATTAGGAATAAACAATCCTGTACTGTACTTGTATAGCCAGCGTTGAGTTTCAACACCAACACTATTTACTCCCTAATGCCCTAATGTGTGTTTTTATTTAGCTTCATTCATTCTGTTAAACATATCAACAAAATAAAAGGCCTGTAATCAAAGATGATTGTAACTTAAAGCTAAAGAACAAGAAGACTGAAGGTATATTTTTAGGATGAAGTATCACTAGTGTGATTTGATTGTCAGTACTTCACAAAAGCTGTGTACACCGTCCACTTATTTCTCTTGATTGCATAAAGGCGTGTTAGGTTTACACAGAGGTCTGTTCGCTGTTGTTTGTACAGTGCTGCATGTGACCTGAACGAGGACGTTGTTGAAGGAAGTCTCTTTTCTACATGATTTGAGCAATCAAGCAGGTTTGTGGCTCTACGTCAGGCGTGATGTGCTGCTGGTTTGTAAATCATTGGTTTCATCAGAGCAGACTTTGTCTCTGTTCGGGAAACTGAGCTGACCTTTGAACTTGTGGCTCATAATGGCAGATAAGCAGAAGAAACTGGATTTCTTTGGCAAGAGATCTTTCTTTGGACGACATTCTCATCGAAAAACTGCAGAGAGTAAGAGTTAGTGAGTAATGTTCGTACTCTTACTGTGGTCTGAAATCTTGTAAATATACTGTAGGACACACGGCTGACTTGCAGTGTAAACAGGTCTGCTGTTCAATATTTTTCCATATCACTGCAATATATCACTTCAATATATCACAATATAATAGAATTTGAACAGATCCGCTCTGGTTAGGACTCGTAATTGTACCATAAATGTTGGTTTCAGTTGTTCTGGGATAGTTAAAGATTCTCAAAGAAGTGTTTTAATTGATCCATTTATATTCCCTTTCCCCCTCAGTTGTTGGATATTGATGTGAATTTATTATACTTTTCCACCAAAAAACTAACCCTACCTGAGCAAACTCGCCATCACCTAATAATAGGATATCTAAGTTGTTGTGGCTTATTTAGTAGTTGCTAACTGGACCAAATGCAGATAGACCCAACCCAGAATATCGCTGTGATATGTTGGTTTGTCCATTACTCAATTAAAGCCCATTGTTTTGTTCTGTTGCTTTGAAGAGTTACTCAGCTCTCGTTCACAGGCTGCATGGTTTGTGTTGTCATCCAGGTCTCTGGGACAAACAGTGCAGGACCAAACGTGAGCAATAATAATATTGATGCATTCCTTAGTCTTAGAAATCAGGCCATATGTGCTGAAGAGTGGAAATCAAGACTTATTTTACTAAGTACTCAGCAATAATCTCACAAGTGTTGAATATGAACAAAGCGAAAGTGATAGCATGCCCATGCTCTTAAAAATATAGACACACGGCATCTTATTCTTCTGACCAGTGAAGCATTGAACAACATGATTTCTCTAACTGCCGTCTAGTTTTGGTGGAATAGTGACCTGGTGCCACAGACTGATCTAACGGGTGTGACATCACTGAGCTGCATAAAAAGGGGGATGTTTGCATAGAACGGCGCTTGCTTTACACCGCGCTGCTATTACATTGTTTACTATAGTAACTCTAGACGGATGCTTCTGGTTTAAACCGAAACAGGTTTAGCGTGAATGGCCTCTGGGATAGGTTCAGCATGAAAATGCATTCACAGAAGACGTATATTTAATATATTTTGGAGACTTGGTTTAACGTGAAGATCTTGGGTAAGAGTGCATCTTTAGACAGCACAGAGCAGTGTTTGCCAACCCTATTCCTGGAGCCACACATTTTGGATTTCTCCCTTATTTGACCCATCAATTTCAAGTGAAGTCTCTTCTAATGAGCTGATGAGTTGAATCAGGAAGAGTTGTGTACAGTTGGTGTGCCTCTAGGAACAGGTGAGGGAAGCATTGACAGTTCTGCTAATGACTGTACACTTGGATGGATTCATCAGCATTAGTAAGAGTAAGAAAACAGGGTACACATTACTTTGATAGTCCACTTTAGACATAAGTAGCTTTGCAACTACATGTCAACTTAAGCCTGGTTCACACTGCAAGGTTTTAAAACGTCGGGCTGAACTGTGCGGTTCACACTGCATGACTTGCTCTCTGTGAAATCAGGAGTGTTCAAGTTGTTGAGCTGTTCACACACACACGACACAACGTGATTGATCCGCAACAGGAGGTAACGCATTACACAACTCTGTCACCCAACGATTCTCTACAAACGAAAAATCGCGTGATAAAACTAACCGGAAATGACGTGAAACAGCACGCGCGCGAATGCCCAGCGAAGAATACTGGCCTCAACCCACGCCTTGCTCTGATTGGCTGTAGCTTATGACATCATTGAGGTTGAGTCGTGCACAGCTCTGGATATCTAGCATGCTATATATTATTCCTGGGCTTGGCAACGTGTCTTGTTGGCTCTTTCAGACTAACAGATTGGCGAGCGTTCATTGCCCGCTAATCCCCCGCGATTTGCACGCGATAACACCCTGACCTGTCGGCGAGCTCAACGATTTGCAAATCTGGCTTAAATCGGGGTTAAAATCATGTAGTGTGAACTAGGTTTAACTCTCAATAGAGTATTAGAAGACTGTCAGTTTAGGCTTAGCTTTAAGGGTTTGGGTTAGTAGAATAAATTGACAGTATACTGTAAGTACTTGCAAAGTCAGTAGAATATCTGTTGGTGTATCAAATAAAGCAGACAGTCTACTAGTACTCTAATGACTGCTATTGACATTTAGTTGCAAAGTTAGTAGAATGTCTAAAGTGGACCTTCAAAATAAAGGTCTGCTCTGAAACCCATTGTACCATTTCAATGTGTATTACATGTCTTGCTTTCCTGTCTTGTCTAGTTTGGAGGGGAATATTCAAAACAGTGAGCCTGGCCCTTCCTTGGACACCAGCATAGGATATGGCCATGGCCCTGTCCCGCACAGTGCTTCCTTGAGTCCTGACCAGTTTGAGGGCTCAGTGTACGGCCACAGCATCCAGTCGGGCCCACAGCGCCCTCAGCGACCCAAACTACAACACTCTCAGTCTATCCTCCGCAAGCAGGCAGAGGAGGAGGCCATCAAACGCTCACGCTCCCTCTCTGAAAGCTATGAGCTCTCCACAGACCTGCAGGACAAGAAGGTACAGTGTCACGGCTAATTCGTACTGGACCAGATATGCTGCATTTTGTAGTTTCCCCAGTCATGAATATCACTAATGTTGTGTTTCGAACTGGCCTTATCTTCTTACTATGTACTTATTAAAGTAATTATAATTACTGGGTACTAACCCTGAACCTACCCCGAACCCATGTACTTACCTTATATTAGCCAGTGCTTTCTAGGTAAGTACACTGTAAGTACACATAAGTACTGTTCTGTAAAAGGAAGCGTTACCCACTATTGTTTATGTGTGTTGTACCCCCTAATTATACCATCTAAAGCGTATATTTCCTGGTTTTCCCAGGTGGAAATGCTTGAGCGGAAATACGGGGGCCGTTTCATAACCCGCCATGCTGCACGCACCATCCAGACAGCTTTCCGCCGACACCAAATGAACAAGAACTTTGAACGCCTCCGGAGTTGTATGTCGGAGAACCGCATGTCCCGTAGGATTCTTTTGTCCAACATGAGGATGCAGTTTTCCTTTGAAGGAGGAGAGAAAGTCCACGGGTCTGTTTTTGAGGGCAAGCAAACGTCTCTCCTGGAGGATACCAGCCAAGTAGGAGCCATGGCTCAAGCTGGAGAGAAGGTTCCTGTTATCTTGGAGGCCCCAGAACCTCAAAACGATTTAACAGATACAATCACAGAGCTAGAGGACACTTTCTCAAGGCAAGTAAAGTCATTGGCGGAGTCAATTGACGATGCACTGAACTGCCATAGTCTACGCAAAGAGGAGATCCAGCCTGAACAAGTTTGTCTGCACCAGGAAGATGAGCTCCCTCAGCCTGATGAGCAGCACAAGCTGGATGAGATCTGTGATGTGACACTCTTCATCGATGAAGAGGAGCTCTCTCCACTGGTCCAGCCTTCCGGCTCCGCTGACCAGCCCTCCAGCACCCAGGCTGGGCAGTCCGGCTGCTCCTCGCAGGAGTACTGGTCCTCGGGGGCTAAGGAGGACAAGGACACTAGCTATGGGAGCCCTCCGCCCCTCGAAGGCCAGGGGCCGCAGCTCTGTAAGGACTTACCCCTGTTGACCATCGAGCCTCCCAGTGACAGTTCAGCAGATACAAGCCATGGCTTGGGCCAGCCACAAAATAACCACGAACAAACCGTAGCAGGACCACAGGCCGGATCTAAAAACATCTCGCACGGACTACCTCCCAGAGTTCCCTCGCTTTCTCAAGACGATGAGCCGCTTAGACACCGGCAGGTGGAGAGCCACCTTCCCGCCAACGGCAAACGGCAGAGCAAGACAGAATCAGACTTTTCAGATGGAGACAACGACAGTCTCAACAGCAATTCAAACTCCATCGACACAATAAACTCAGAATCCTCATCTCGAGATAGTCTCAGCAAGCAGACCTACCACAAAGACACTCGCAACAGCTGGGACTCTCCAGCCTTCAGCAGCGATCTAGTGCGGAAAAGACAATACCGCATTGGCCTCAACCTCTTCAATAAGTATGCATCTCAATGACATCATTTTTACACATTTTATCACCAGAAGAAGTGGGTGTGAAGGTAGCCTCTGGTTTGGGGTGCAATTCTAAATAACTGCCTTTCTGTTTCCTTCTACACGTCCAGTATCGGCTATGACTGAGTGTTCAGAAGGATGCGACGTTAACTTGAGCTGCTCCTCTGCTTTCAGAAAGCCAGAGAAGGGAGTGCAGTACCTGACGGAGAGGGGCTTTATCCCCGACACGCCCGTGGGAGTCGCACACTTTCTCCTGCAGAGGAAAGGCTTGAGTCGGCAGATGGTCGGGGAGTTCCTGGGGAACCGGCAGAAACAGTTCAATAGGGATGTTTTAGAGTAAGTGTTTTCATCCTACTTACCCATTGTGTTATTAGATAAATGTACAAACGTGGTGTGTGTGTGTGTGTGTGTCAGCTGTGTGGTGGATGAGCTGGATTTCTCAGGGATGGAGCTGGATGAAGCTTTGAGGAAATTCCAGGCTCAGATCCGTGTTCAGGGAGAAGCGCAGAAGGTGGAGCGCCTGATCGAGGCTTACAGGTGCTGTCGCATCACCAAACACGCATCTACTACACTGAACCTTGCAGGTTTTATCTCTGACATAATTCTTGAGTAAATTAGAAACAACAAATAAACAAGGTAAAAAAGATAATCAAGCAGCCAAAGATGATACAGCACTAATTGTAGAAAGATGATGTTTATTGCATTCAGATGGAATGATGTGTGTTGTGTGTGTGTGTGTTTAGCCAGCGCTACTGCATCTGTAACCCTGATGTGGTCCGTCAGTTCAGAAACCCTGACACCATCTTCATCCTGGCATTCGCCATCATCCTCCTCAACACAGACATGTACAGCCCCAACGTCAAGCTGGAGCGCAAGATGAAGCTCGAGGACTTCGTCAAGAATCTGCGAGGTTTGGATGGAAACTCTATTCAATTGGTAACACTTTACAATAAGATTCATTAGTTAATGTATTTACCAACTTGTACTAACAATGAGCAATACATTTGTTACTGTATTAGTTATTCTTTGTTAATGTTAGTTCAAAAAATCCAGCTGTTCATTCTTCATGTTAGTTCACAGTGCATTAACTAATGTTAACTAATACAACCTTTGATTTTAATTCTAACCTAAAGGAGTAGTTCACTTTTAAAAAAAACTTTTGCTGATAATTTACTCACCCCCATGTCATCCAAGATGTCCATGTCTTTCTTTCTTCAGTCGAAAAGAAATTAAGGTTTTTGATGAAAACTTTCCAGGATTTTCTCCATATAATGTCCAAAAGACAGTTTCAGTGCAAACTGTTCAAAGGGCTTTAAACGACTCCAGACGATGAATAAGGGTCTTATCAAGCGAAACGATCGCTCATTAAAAAAATTAAAAAGTTTAAGTTTGATAAGTTTATCAAAATGAACAAATCTTTTTTCGTGTCATTTGGTTCATTTAACGAACGAAATAAACGAATTGACTCGGGAAAAGATTTGTTCATGAACGCGAGTCACGAATGCGCATCACAGAACAGAGCAAGGCGAAATTTAATTTTTTTTTAATGAGTGATAGTTTCGCTTGATAAGACTCTTATTCATCGTCTGGAATCGTTTAAAGCCCTTTGAACAGTTTGCACTGAAACTCTCATTTGGATCTTGAACCATTTGGTTCCCACTGAAGTCCATTATATGGAGAAAATCCTGGAATGTTTCATCAAAAACCTTAATTTTAAAAGTTAAATTTTTTTTTTAAAGTGAACTACTCCTTTAATATTAACTAAGATTAATAAATGCTTTGGAAGTATTGTTCATTCTGAGTTCATGTTAACTAAAGTAATTAACTAATGCACCTTATTGTAAAGTGTTAATATTGGCTTCAGACTTGATACAAGGCCACAGAAGAGTCCAAATATAGACCTCATGCACCAGAGAAACGTGGGCGCCGTCATCTTTAGAATATTGTCTTTGAACTTCCGGTTTCGCGGTCGCTCTGTATATTTCTATGGCATCGCTGTCGAGGAGTAATTAGCTGGTGAAGTGGATTTACTTATTGTAGAGTTAACAAAAGTTATCATGAGCATTGTAATGTTTATCATAAGCATTGTAAAGCAGATGTCTTAACAAATATCGACCGGGATTTTTTTTTACGAGCAGTTCATTCATAGGTCTATAGAGCGACATGACATGCCAGTTCAGTAGCTGTAGTGTGTGCTATAGCCTTGTGTGTGTGTGTTGGAAGGGGTTGATGACGGAGAGGACATCCCTCGGGAGATGCTGGTTGGGATTTACGAGCGGATCCAGAAGAAGGAGCTGAAAACCAATGATGACCATGTGTCTCAGGTGCAGAAGGTGGAGAAACTCATCGTGGGCAAGAAGCAAGTAAGCTCATCCCAGTCCATGAAACTGGCCCAGATACCGCCCATGTACTTAATGAAGATAATGAGGCTGTTAGCCGTAGTTTAAGAGCTCTTATCATTTCTCAACAATTTTTAATCGTCAACTGTGAATTGCGTGATTCACTCATATATCTCTTGCGTTACAGATTGGATCGCATCACCAGGGCCTCGGATGTGTAAGTATACTTCATGATGTATGTGGTAAGCCATGAGAGAGAGTGTGTGTGTGTGTTTTTGTGATTTATGAGAACAGAAATTTGTATAATGTAATGGATATTACACTTGTATTACAACGTGAACGTGATTTATGAGGACATTTCCTTCCTGAGTCCTTGTATTTGAAATGGCTTTAAAAACACACTAAGCAGTGTTTTATTAAAAATGTAATAATTGTGTGTTTGTGTGATGGGTAGGTTTAGGGGTAGCATTGAGTCGGGATGGGTCCAGGCGCAGGTCCACCATAAAGGATCCCTCGGGATAAACAGAGAAACTGATATTAGCGTAGACGCCATCCTTCTTATGATGTAACGAGTACATAACGAGACGACGAAGACTTAACAGAGCAGCCATCGAGTGTTAGACAGTATTCTAGGCTGTTACGTGTGGACTTTTTTGGTCCAATAATTAGAATCTCTGTTTACTACTCAGAATTTAGTAGTAGGAAATAACTAGTCATCCAGTTTTTTATATCAGCAATGCATTCTAATTATAAATAATAATTAAATAATTATGTGAGTTGGTAAGTTTCATTAGGTTTTGAAGAACTATAATAGTGAAAGCTAACTCCATGTTTCCTAATGATATCTCCTAATGGGAGCATGAACGGAGTGAACAGCAGCGGTCCTAGTACTGAGCCTTGTGGTACGCCATACTGAACTTGTGATGGATAAGACATCTCTTCATTTACTGCTACAAACTGATAACGGTCAGATAAGTCTGATTTAAACCATGCTAATGCAGATCCACTAATGCCAACATAGTTTTCTAGTCTATTTAAAAGAATGTTGTGGTCAATTGTGTCAAATGCAGCACTAAGATCGAGTAACACTAATAGAGAGACACAACCACGATCGGACGATAAGAGCAAATCATTTTGTGACTCTAATGAGAGCTGTCTCGGTACTATGATGTGCTCTAAATCCTCGCAGATATCATTTCTTTCAAGAAAGGAACACAGTTGTGAGGATACTGCTTTCTCCAGTATCTTTGACAGAAAAGGCAGATTCGAGATCGGCCTGTGATTGACTAATTCTGGAGGATTTAACGAGTGGTTTAATCATAGCCAGTTTAAAGTTTTAGAGGTAGAGTTAGTGTGTGTGTGTGTGTGTGTGTGTGTGTGTGTGTGTGAAATTAGCTACATTTTGGGAAGTAGTCCTCATGAAAAGAATGGCTTAATAAATGTCTTTCTAAAATTCAAAAACACATTCTGTATATGGGTTGCATTTACACTAAGAGCAAAGTAGAAAATACCATAGTTGAGTAAAAAAACCCATAGTTGTGAGTGTAACGTCCCCAGCATGATGTGTGTGTGTGTGTGTGTGTCAGGTGCTGTCTCAGGCTCACCGCAGGCTCGTGTGCTACTGCAGACTGTTCGAAGTCCCGGACCCAAACCGACTGCAGAAACTCGGGCAGCATCAGCGGGAGATCTTCCTGTTCAATGACCTGCTGGTGGTGAGGGCAAACACACACACACACACACACACACATGTGTTATTCTACAGATATGTACAGCCTCTGATCACTGTGGTTGGTGCTCTTCTGTGACAGGTGACCAAGATCTTCCAGAAGAAGAAGAACTCGGTGACGTACAGTTTCAGGCAATCTTTCTCTCTGAACGGGATGCAAGTGATGCTCTTTGAAAACCAGTGTAAGAAATATATCCACAATCAGAAACGAATATGAAACAAAAACTGTGTCATTTAAAAATGAAGGAATCAGGAATTCAGCAGCAATAATCATGTAAATATATAAATCAATCACAGATAAAGTCTAGAGCATGGACACTGAATGTGATGCATTTATGAAGCCTAATTCAGTCATTTATTGATAATAAAACAACATGTTATTCCTTCATTTCATGGCACCCTCCGTCCTGCATAATGCTGCATACATTTACTATAAGAATCCATTTAAATGTATTATTTATTTTCTTTATTTGAATGTTTCTTGATATTGTTCTCAGTCTATCCCAACGGTATCCGGCTGACTTCGGCCATTCCAGGAGCGGACTTCAAAGTCCTGATCAACTTCAACGCCCCCAACCCTCAGGACCGCAAGAAGTTCCTCAGCGACCTGCGCGAGTCCATCGCTGAAGTCCAGGAGATGGAGAAGTACCGCATCGAGTGTAAACACACCTTTATTCTTCCCCATCCAGAGATGTAGACCTTCATTTCTGATGGACATGCCAGGGTCATTCAGATGTAGAAACTGCTGTCGTTTGTTGTCCGAGTGCAAGTGTGTGCTCTATATGAATGGCGTGTGTGTGTCTGGCTGTTTGCAGCGGAGCTGGAGAAGCAGAAAGGGGTGGTCCGGCCCAGTATGTCTCAGAGCATGTCTGGCCTGAAGAAGGAGACGGGGAACGGGAGCATGGGCCGCACCAGCCTGGACGACTCTTACGCCATGGGCGAGGGCCTGAAGAGGAGTGCGCTCAGCAGCTCCTTACGGGATCTCTCTGAAGCGGGTGAGCACAGGGGACACACACCGATAACAGCACCCTTCAAAGAAACAAGTGAAACATTAAGGGCCCTATTTTAACGATCCAAGCGCAACGGCACAAGCCTGAATCCACTTCTGCTGGTTTAACGACGGGACAAATGGTCGACGCTCCCGGCGCTGGTCTAAAAGGGTCGTCTCTATTCTCCTAATGATTAATGAGTGTGTTTTGGTCAAAACATGCAATAAGCCAATCAGAGTCTCATCCCTTTAAAAGCCAGTCTTACACCGTGTCCTAACTACACGCGACGCGATAAAATTCCAGCGACAGCAAGTCTGTCCACAGTAGACGCGACGCGACTGTGAGACGCCTCACATTCAGAACAGCGTGTGGGCGGAGTCTCTCTGTGAAAGCGCACTCGCATTGGAAATGGGTAAGGACATAATCAAATCAAGAAATAACATTATTAAAAATCAAAACATTAACAAAATATACTCATTGACTAATTTTGTTATGAAGTACAGTCGTATGTTTGCATAGAATTCATTTTGAACGCTATATTACATGCTTTCAAAATCTGAGGTAAATTATCCGTTATCGCTTGTGGCACAGTGGCCTATTTTTGACTAAAAATAAATAATGTGTACTCATAACCAGTGTAATTTCTTTATTCTGTCAGCCGCGACGTCGCAGAAATAGGAACCGTTTCTAAATTAGAAACTTCGCGTGTCGCGGCGTCGCGTGTAGTTAGGACACGGTGTTACGCTTCTCTAGAGCACAAACGGCTGCTCGTGCAGCAGGCCGAAGCTGTGTGTGTGTGTGTGTGTGTGTGTGAGGTTAAAGCAGAAAATCATCTACAGGACAAGACGGATTCCACCATCTTTATGTGCGCGTTGTGGCTCACATTACTAACACACTCTTTAAAGCAGTAGTTCACTTTTAAAAAACTTTTGCTGATAATTTATCTGAGTCTAGAGATGTCCAAGATGTCCATGTCTTTCTTTCTTAAGTCGAAAAGAAATGAAGGTTTTTGATGAAAACATTCCAGGATTTTCTCCATATAATGGACTTCAATGGGGTCCAAACGGTTCAAGGTCCAAATGAGAGTTTCAGTGCAAACTGTTCAAAGGGCTTTAAACGATTCCAGACGATGAATAAGGGTCTTATCAAGCGAAACGATCGCTCGTTTAATAAATAAATAACAAAGTTTAAGTTTTATAAGCTCAAATGCTCGCCTTGCTCTGTTCTGTGATGCGCGTTCGTGACTCTCCTGTTCGAACTCGTTCATCAAAACGAACAAATCTTTTTTCAATTTGACTCAGAAAAAGATTTGTTCATTTTGATAAACGAGTTCGAACAGGAGAGTCACGAACGAACGCGCATCACAGGGTAAAACGTCTGCTAAATGATTAATGTGTAATAAGCTGACATTAAGACCATGTGGCCAGAATTCCCGAAGGGTCAGTGATGAAGTCTCTGATCTAAAAATAAATATGAAAATGTTGATGTGTGGTCAACAGGACTCCATCTTTAGCAGAGAGAAGCTTCCTTCCGGGATCATCTGATTCCTGACAGACTTCCTCCTCCTCCTCGGGTCTGTCTGGCAGCGCTCCGGTTCAGGACCCTGTGTTGCCCTCCATCTGCACCCACACCTCTCTCAGCGATGTCACTTCCTCCAGGAGCTCCACCCATAAGCACACGCCGGGATCATGTGATCCGAGCCGAACGTTTAAACGGACACTTGATGAGCCATACCAGCCAGACCAACAGCATCTCTCTCTCTCTCTCTCTCTCTTTCAGCGCTCGCCCACAGGTGACTCACACAAGATTAGAATTAAGAAATCATCCATCCATCCATCTTCTTCCGCTCAAGAAATTAAGAAATCATATTTTGCTTAAAGAGAATCAAGGACCATTAAGATCTATTGCATTGTGATAGATATTTTCATGACAATTTGCAAAAAAAATAAAATAAATAATACTGTAGTGCATTTTAAAATTATTATTATTCTTTTGGTATCACTTCATTTTGTTAAACATTTTGCTAACTATAAGTAACTGTGCAACTACATGTCAAATAACTCTCATTAGAGTATTAGTATTTCGGTTCGGGATTCACATGCAAAAGCTGTCTAAAGTGGACCATCAAAATGAAGTGTTACTTCATAACGAAAGCATACATACATAAACCTCATGCTGTATAGATCATTTTCAATTCAAATAATATTGTTTTTCACATTGCAGTAATATAATTCTTACAGGATTTATTTTTTCATTAAGTTTGAGAAGTGTGCAGAATTGCGCTTATATGAATCTACAAAATAATCTCAATGGTCCTAAAGTGGTCTTGGTTGGCTTCAAGCAAAGTGTTTTCCTGATGCTGTGGATGGGTTTGGTTGGATATAAACACACACAGTGGAAGAGCAGGTCTGCCCGTAACCTTGTGTTTTTGAGACTCAGACTAGCAGAATGACAGATAGATGTTCTAACGCTGTATTTGTTGTAGATGACAACTCTATATGTTGTCTAACAATCATAAATGAACGTGCCAATGGCCATTGCACCCGTCATCTCTCTGTGTGTGTGTGTGTGTGTGTAGTATTATAGTACAGTAGTGCAACTGAAACCATTGTACGCAAAAAGCGATGTTATAGAATACTGTAAAAAATGAACTTTTTAAGAACAATATCTTGTTGAGTTTGAGTCAAAGTCATATTTAAAGAAACTTCCATTGGGATCCTGAAGCACAAATGCAGTGTGATCACGGACGGACGGCGAGGGTTTGAGGAGCTTGCATGCCTTTCACTGGAAACAACTTTTCGGATTTTTCTTTCCCTGCGGAGTTACGAGGGCCAGGGACCGGATTATTTTTCTATCTAGTACAGATGGGTCTTGTTTCTTCGTAAGTGCAATATGTTGGTCACGATGGGCTAAAGCATAGTGGCGTGTAGATCCTCATCAAACCAGTGTTTTCATCCAACGCAACGTCAAAGTGATCGGCTAGGCTTTAACTGTGATTTGTTCTCGATGTTGTTTTTGGGTGTTTATTTATTCAAGAAAATAAACCAGTGTTACCATGACAATGAAGTGCAATCATGTAAAAAGTACTTTTGTTTTTCTTTTATTTAACTTTTAAACAACCAGGAGATTTCAGGTAAATATTCTGCTATATTATGCAAGCGTCTGTATGTTTAGAGGAATGTTTATCTAGAGAAAATAACATCTGGTCTGTGAAATAGAGCTGTTGTAAAGATGCATTCTGATCAGATATATAAGCTGAAAACTGAAGAACAATATTTCAGTTTCGTAATTGTTTTCATGCCCCCGAACCAAAGCATTGGGTTTTATTTTGAACATATCACATCTCTTGTGTGCAATATTCAGTCTGGTGTTGTAAAGTCAACATGAAACCAGAAGTCGCCGGTTTACTTTCTGAAGACGTTCCTGGTCTTGCACGATTCATTGGTGCACATTTATTTCAAGGCAAATTTTTTAAGTTTAAACAAATACTTGCACTAAGTCCCCACATGTTTAATAATCTCCTTCACTCACAATAAAAAAGGAAGATTTGTGAACAGTGTTTCATGTTGACTTTAACAGGAAATTTAAAAGCTTTTATATTTATATTACTTCAGTGTCACACTTTCCAGAGATTTTTTTTTCTGCATAAAATGTTAATAACTCATTAATAATCTGATTGACAGGCGAGACCTCAACAATGTGCACTGAATGTTCAAATGCAACACTCTTTCTTCTTATACTGTATATTTCATTCCTCTCAGCCTCATCCACCCTGTCGTTGCGGTTCAGTACTGTGTCGTGTGTTACTGCGGTGATCAATCGACTGACAGCATGAAACACCCACTCTTAGGCCATGTAGAGACACATTTGAGCAGTTATAACTATATTAGGGACCCTTCAGCAAGTCATTGTGTCTATAGTGTGTCCAGTGTCCTGTCTGTTTCTCTCCTCACAGGCTGCTATCATCACCGTCCACATCAAACACTCCCACAAACGGCTAACAGAAACGGGCATTTCGGGTTTATTTAGTTGTTGTAGAACAGAGAATGCTTGTAATTTGAGATTTTTTTTTTATGTAATGGTTATCTATGTCAGTGTACAGTCAATGTAAAACTCAAACTGTGAGGACATTCAGAGCATAAAATAAAATGAATATACGATGTTGTCTGTTTATTTTAAAATCATTTATATAAAGACTACAGAGCTGCATGACTTGGCCAACATTTAATTTTGTTATTATTTTGTTGTTATTATGTTGTGATTTGATGAGCTATAACTTAATGTCACATGACACTGTGTAATATTGCTACTGGAGACATCCAGACAGAGAGCAAAGACTGCTCATTCCCTCAGCTGGGTTAACTCTTTACACAAATCAACAAACTCTAAAAGTAACAATAAAAATATCTATGTAATAAAATAAAGTTAAACCCCTTAAACTTTTAAAAAATTCTATGCATAAAAATGTTGGCAAGTTTCTGTAATGGCATCTACTATAATTACACTGTTGAATACCTTAACCATACCTTACATTACCATACCTTACTTTACCCGTATCCACCTCAATACATTAACCCTCCCTTAAACCCCACCTACCGCACCGGCTAACCTGTGCTAACCTCACCACACCATACCTTACCATACCTTACCTTACCAGACCATACCATACCTTACCTTACCCTACCTTACCTACCATACCTTACCTTACAAACCATACCTTACCTTACCCGTATCCACCTCAATACCTTAACCCTCCCTTAAACCTTACCTAATACACCAGCTAACCTGTGCTAACCTCACCACACCATACCTTACCATACCTTACCTTACCAGACCATACCTTACTTTACCCGTATCCACCTCAATACATTAACCCTCCCTTAAACCCCACCTACCGCACCAGCTAACCTGTGCTAACCTCACCACACCATACCTTACCATACCTTACCTTACCAGACCATACCATACCTTACCTTACCCTACCTTACCTACCATACCTTACCTTACCAAACCATACCTTACCTTACCCGTATCCACCTCAATACCTTAACCTCCCTTAAACCTTACCTACCACACCAGCTAACCTCACCATACCATATTACCTTACCTTACCATACCTTACCTGTATCCACCTCAATACCTTAACCCACCCTTAAACCTCACCTACCACACCAGCTAACCCGTGCTAACCTCACCACACCATACCTTACCTTACCTTACCATACCTTATCCTACCATACCTTACCTTACCTTACCATACCGTACCTTACCTTACTCTACCTTACCTACCATACCTTGCCTTACCAGACCATACCATACCTTACCTTACCTTACCCGTATCCACCTCAATACCTTAACCCTCCCTTAAACCTCACCTACCACACCAGCTAACCTGTACTAACCTCACCACACCGTACCTTACCATACCTTATCCTACCATACCTTACCTTACCTTACCCTACTATACCTTACATTACCTTACCCGTATCCACCTCAATACCTTAACCCTCCCTTAAACCTCACCTACCACACCAGCTAACCTGTGCTAAACTCACCACACAATACCTTACCATACCTTATCCTACCATACCTTACCTTACCTTACCCTACTATACCTTACCTACCATACCTTACCTAACCTTACCATACCATACCTTACCTTACCGTACCTTACCTACCATACCTTACCTAACCTTACCATACCATACCTTGCCTTACCTTACCCTACCTTACCAGACCATACCTTACCTTACCCGTATCCACCTCAATACCTTAACCCACCCTTAAACCTCACCTACCACACCAGCTAACCTGTGCTAACCTCACCATAACACATTACCTTACCATACATCAGGGGTTCTCAAACATTTTGGTGCCAGGGACCCCTTTCAGGGGAAAAAAAATTCCAAGGACCCCCCTCATATTTATAACAGTTATTGAGCACAAAGTTAATGTGTGAGCGGCAAATGAAATATTTTTGCACAAAATGAATGGTCTCCACCCAGGGTACTATGCAGGAATTTCTAAATAGCCTACTGAGGTAACGAAAGTGATCTTGCTAGGAATCACTTAGGATCCCTCACTTAGGAATTTTTGATGTTCTTGATCTACACATGTGCATTTTAAGGTGTTTTAAGGCCCCACAATTGGATAACTATAGATTTAGTAGAAGCATGTCAGTCAGTGGCATACATTTTTTTTTTTTTTGTCAAGATGTCACGAAACACAATCACATATTCCAATCAGGAATGGCCTTAAAAGAGAAATTTTTCAATAATTAGGCCTATTCTGCACACAAATAAAGCCCATAAGCCTATAAATACAATGATAATGGCATTATGTTTAATAGGTGTGTGCGTTGTTAATTTGAGCTACTGTAATTAGCTAAAAAAACATACAGTATATGTTAAATATATGAATCCATAATGTTAATCTCATGGGCACAGTATATGTTTCTATTGACCTGCTTTTTTACCTTTGTTAAAGTTGAGCTTGATTAATACTTTGCAAACTGATTGTTTCAGTCGTTTTTTAAAACTTTTATCTAAAACAGCTGTTTAGTTTATGTTAATAAAGGCCTACATCTTATCTCGCACTTTATGACCGTTGACTGAAACGTCGTGCGGGGAACTTTGAGTTCACTCCGACTCAAACATTTTGACATTGACGAGCTATCGTTGTTAGTCTGCTGAAGCACCTCAGACGAGAAGGTCAGTATCATCGCGATGTGCATCCTTGCAACCTCAGTTGTGGGTACGGCCCTGTCACTATGCACTTTTATTTTTATAATGATCAGACTTCTAATGTCAAATCTACAGTAGCAGTGCTAGAACTGACTATTGTGCGCGCACGCGAGACGCCGGCGCGCAATTACATGGGAATTTTTCCTCAGCAGTGGAAACAGGAATACTCTTATTTATGGTCATAGATAAGACAAGAGTGCATC